TAGATTATTTATAGATTCAACCATGGATTTTCCTACCCTTGTTCCTGTCGCCTAAGAAACTACAACTTCACAAAACTAAAACCAGAGCTCGAAAAGTACTCTTGAGATTTAAGAGAAAAATCCAGTTAGGTACAAACTGATCAATTGAGCTAGAACAATTTAAAAAGATCTGAACAACACTCCTCCTTTTGTAGGGGAAAGCCTAGGGCTGAAATAAAAAAAAAAAAATTAATAGCTTACCAAGTGGCATAAAAATCAACCAATACTGGTTTATCAGCATTTTCCAATAAATCATCAAAGGTAGAAAACGTCTGCTTCTTGGCCTCAACCTGACAGGAAAACATGCAAAATGTTATTTACCTAAGAGACTTACTGCTGGATAAAGATAGCTCAAAAAAGAAAAAAATAAATAAGGCGGAAAATCTCATTACAGCCAATTATGCTGCATTACACGGCACTGTAATTGTAAGAAAACTTTTTCTCCGTAAAGCATCTCTCTTAAGCTTCATAAACAGGTCTTGTACGCATCCAACAACAAGTTCTGCACTCACTTAATCTCAAATACCCATCATTTTCTTTGAAACTGTTTTGACCTAGTTGTGCGGCACTATAAAGCCGGTAAAGCACAGGTTAGGAGTGATACCAAACTCAAGGTCTAGTTGGATATGAAGCTCAATCTTACCCTAGAGTCTCACTAAAGGTGTAACTATACACCCAATATGATGTCAAACCACGTTCAATTTCCTAGATATTAGTCACGGGTTTTTAAAGCTGCTTACCGACACTCAATTTGATGAATGGATATTATTAAACAACTCAGGCACTGTTTTATACAAAATGCAAATGGTGCATTGTATTTCTATTAAAAAGATCTCATTAATTCAATTGACAGCACAAGAAGAATCCAAAAGGAAAACATTATAGATTCCAAGGTTATATTTTTATTCCCTTATTATAGAATCAAACTCCATGCTTCGGACCAACCTCCCCTTTCAAATTTTCCCTCTTCCTTTAAATAGTCAAAGGTTCAGCGTCTATGTTGAGTCACAGCGGAGCCCTATTTACCATGAATTGTAAAAACGTGAAGCTCAGGCATGAAACTTAAATTTATTTATTTAAAATAAAGCCAAAAATTTGAACTTGCGTAACAAAAATTCTAATAAATATAAAATTACCAGACCGGAGATTATAGAAAACTTAACGAAAATAATCTGACTACACCATACTGAACATCCAATTGACTTTAATTCATAAAACCCACAAACAAAATCCAGAAAAATATTCATAAATTCTTTCCTTTTTTCACAAATGAGCTGGAAAAGCCAAAAGTAATTACCAGAGGAAGAGTTCTCGGGCCAGGCTTGGATACGGGCCTTTGGTTTCGAATTGTTAAGGCACGAAGCTCCTTTGGTAATTGAAGGGAGGACAAGTGGCAAAGCTTTGTTGATGAATGTACTGATGGTGAAGACGATACGGCGACATTTCTGGGGACTACAGCGGTCGCTACTGAAATCGCCATTGTTTTCAACCGAATGAGAGAGAGGACAAGAATTATGAGATAATATCAACATGCGGGGCGATTTGCGCAAGAGGAGAAAGGCTCGCAATAAGGCCGTGTTTGGTTAGCTGAATTTTATGTTGCAAACTGGAATGAGAATCTATTTATGCGTTATTACTTCAAAGGCATGTTTGAAGCAGATTTTTGGAAATAAAATTTTTGCTTAAAATGTAAGAAAAAATTATGAGTTCATGTGCAAAGTTATTTTATTAAAAGAACTTGTGTGTTAAAAATAAGTTGGAAGAACAATGAGTTTTAAATAATCTCTACGAAACATGAGCCAATAAGCGCGTTCCATATTTCTAGAGGATTGTGTGACAATGATTTCTCGTGAGTGAGCAATTGAAGTGAACATTGAGGCTCACGGTCTCAAGAATTGATAGTCTTGCCATCGCTATATAACTTTATCGTACCGCAACTGACGGTCTCTCCACTAGAAAATTAATAGACGTTATAAAACGTACTAGCTAGCCTAGGAAAAATTGTGTAAATCGAAGGACAAAGGCGATATTAACTTCGAGATTTATCTATATTCAAATATTTTTCATATTGCCCCTTTGTGCACGTTACTTGCGAATGTGATAGCTTATATTTATGGTGTCGTATCATTCGGAAGATGTGAATTATTTCGAAAGAGCTTGTGTTGAGGAGCGCTTTGTACCATTAGATAGTGAGATTGCCGGATTTGTATATCCTTAATAAAAATCATAATATTTTCAATAAAAAGTCAAAATGAATGCTTTCGACATAAATAAGGTTTCCCTGCTAGGATTCTTGTTCTTAATCACGAATTGTTTTCTGATGTGTGGTTCTAATCCTACAGATGGATTCACCAATTTGCCCTCAAAGGAAGATAATTTCGTAATCTAAAGGCCGTTTAAGGTACCACTCGAAAAGAGGTACAGTTACGAAAATGGGGTTCGTCGGTTATGGGTTTATGCCGATGATGAGTCTCACGATCCCAATAGCTTCACTCAGCCACGTACTGGAAGTTCGTATACATGTGGGTTAGCTTCACATGTCGTATGCATTTCTTGTTATTTTCGTGCAACCTAGTTTAGCCCTATACATGTTACATACAACTTGCAGGGACATGACTACTCATCCGGAGCGTGGCAATTTGAAGGCTATGGCTTCGTCCAAAAAGGAACCTCCGGTGCGACAATCGTTCAAATTCACGGTGGGCAAGTGATAGCTAGTGGGATGTATGATAAATGGTTTAGGGTTAACCTAATCCATGATGTTGATGAAGGGAAGGTGACAGTCTTTTTTTTTTTTTTCCTTTTTGATGGTGAACAAAAATTTGAGACAAAATATAGAGGGGCCGGGGACTTGTATTTCAAATGTGGAGTTCATGCAGCACCAAAAGACATTAGTTACAAGAAATAAATGGAATCTAGGTGGACAGACATTAAATTATACAAGAAATAATGATAGANTTGAAAACAATAAGACAATAACAATCATTTAAATAAAAAAAATATTTAAAGTAAAAAACAAGGATTAAAGATTAATTTTTAAAAATAGGTTTCATCGTTATTCTAGTGCATATGAATTTAGCCTAGCATTATCTAATTACAAAAACACAAAATATATGAAAAATAAACCACCAATAAAAGAGTTTATGGAAAGGTGGTTGCGCTGTTGGAGGTTCCCTCTTTCCTCGATGAAAAATGATTGAAGTACAGGAGAAAATTACAGAATTTTTCCAGAATTTTAAAATACTCTCACACGAGGAGGCAGGGTCCACATGAATTAAATATTGTTAAAAACAATAGGACCTATGTATTGTGTGTATTCGGTACAATTTCTGTAAAATATTTTCTGTACCTATAGAGTGATTGTTCCTCGATAGGGTAGATTTCAGATTGAAATTGTCAAATGTGATTCTCTATGTAGTTAATAGTCTTCAGTCAAATTTTATATCTGCGCTCAATACATACGATTTTCTCTCATATTTTATTTTTATTTGGTGACGAGAGTCATGATTCTTGTCATTCTATTACCGGTAATGGTAATAAAGTTGCCTTTAAGCTCGCATCGTTCACTACTCTAGGTCAAGAGTCCATAGCGAGATTGATTGTATTCCTGATTTTATTACGGCTCCCAGTTCTAAAACTTAACGGAAGTAATATTATTATGTTCAGCAAAATGTATAATTTCAAATTTGTTAGCATTAGCCAAGTTGAAATTGATTCATAAAAGGTTGAATATGCTAGAGTTACGGAACGATTTAATAAACATTTGAAAGATTTCTCCTACTACTGCACTTACCACCAAACCTATAGTCACAGCACGACTAACTACAGAGATATTGCCTTACAACCCCAATCTGATAATCGAAGGGACAATAAGCGCCCGCAAAGAAATTCACCCTCTCCTAGGCAGAATCAACGACCTAGGAGAGATGAGTCTAAGCGACTATCCCGTCAAGAGTCGCTTATCGTAGGCAAGAGAACGATGGAGAAAGGTCTAGAGATGGACAAAGACCCCATCCTTGTCAAGAAACATAATGGCAAGTGGAGAGTATGCATTGATTTCTTCAACCTCAACCAAGCTTGCCCAAACGACAATTTTCCTCTTCCATGAATAGATCAACTTGCTCATTCTATTGCTGGACACGAAACTGCCGAGCTTCATGGAAGCCTATTCAAGCTACAACTAGATCCCAATGTATCCAGCCAATGAAGAACATAAGTCCTTCATAACAGATAGAGGTCTCCACTACTACAATGTGATGCCCTTTGGTTGAAAAAACTCGGGGCTACATATCAGAAGCTCATCAACAGAATGTTTGCCGACCTTATCGGTGAAACAATGGAAGTCTATATAGATGACATGCTAATAAACAACCTTAGACAAGGGATCATGTGAAGCACTTAGACGAAGCTTTCTAGATATTGAGGAGGTACACGATGAAGTTGAATTCCCCTAAGTATACGTTTAGTGTCGCCTCTAGAAATTTCTTAGACTACATGGTCAACCAAAGGGGGAAAGAGGCAAATCCTGAGAAAATTAAGGCCCTGATTAAGATGAGGTCTCCCCAGAAGCCTAAAGAAGTACAAAGCCTCACATGACGTATAGCAGCCATAAGCTGTTTTGTCTTAAATGTAACTGATAAGTACAATCTATTCTTTGAGTTTCTAAAGGAAGGAAAGATGGTCCGGTGATAGAATAGTGTGAAGAGGCCTTTCAAGGACTGAAGAAACACTTGGGAGAGGTTATCTTCTCGAAACGAAACGATGATGAACCCTTGCAATTATATTTACCCATATCTACCGATCCCATCAATTCGGTGCTCATTAGAAAAGAGGGTAATCATCAGTTGCCTCGTTTATTATGTAAGCAAAATACTTTTGGTAGAAGAGACTTGCTACCTAGATATGAAAAAACCAGCTCTCGCCTTGGTCACGGCCTCTAGGAAATTGAGGCCATAATTCCAATCCCACATTATACACGTTTTAACAAACATTCCACTGAAACATGTGCTCTAGAAACTAGATGCCTCTGGGAGGTTGTTGGAATGGGCTGTGGAGTTCAGTGGATTCGATATAGTGTTCAGGATGAAAACGACTACCAATAATGTAGCAGAATACGAAGCTTTCCTAGCCGGCTTCAGACTAGCCAAAAAAATGCAAATAAAGAAGTTAGTTATCAGTAGTGACTCTCATCTGGTGGTTAGCCAGGTTAACGAAAATTTTACAGCTAGAGATAAAAGCATGGCCGTATATCTGAAGTTGGTGATGGACCTCACTCCATCCTTTGAAAAATTCGAGTTAGCACAATTCTACGCATGGAACATGCTCATGCTAATGCTCTCTCGAAGTTAGCAAGTAGCAAAATCTTTGAGCTACTTACCTTGGTACTTATAGAACATTTCTCTAAACCCTCCACTGCTAAGAGTGAAGAAGTGATATGGGTTAAGGGCACGTCCCCCGGAAGCAACCCATCATAGCATACCTCAGAGACGAGGCCCTACCCACTGACAAAGAGGAATCACAAAAGCTCAAAAAAAGGACAACACATTTTGTATTTCAAGATAAAATGCTGTATAAAAGTAGTTTCTCCGTACCCCTCATCCAATGCATAGGAGGCGAACATGCCACTTTCGTTCTTCAAGAAATTCATGAAGGAGTCTCTGGCAACCATTCGGGGAGATGGGCTCTAGCGCAAAAGGTGTCGAAATAAGGATACTACTGACCTACTTCGAAAATTTATGCACAACAGCTTACGAGAAGGTATGACAAGTGCCAGCGCTTTTCAACAATACAAAGGTAACCTTCCTAGGAGCTAACTGTCGTCTAGGGATGGCAACGGGGCGGGGCGGGGCGGGGCGGGGCGGGGGCGGGGAGTGCTCCCCCGTCCCCCGTTTAAGGCGGGGCGGGGAGAGGAGGGCGACAGCCCCGTTTATGCCTCGTTTTTTTTTTCGTCCTCCTCTATAAATTCAACTTTTAATATATGTATTTGAAGATATTTCCATAATACAATAAATATAACTCCCTTAAAAATGAAATAAATGCTAGATCCAAAGTCATGTTATATGATTACAAAACCCATAAAAGCAATTAGCAAAGTATATGACATTTCCATAATACAATAAATATAATATAAAACTCTTAAAAATGAAATAAACGTTAGATCCAAAATATTTTATCATAGCGCGCAAACATAACATAATGCAACATTTCATGTTGTAGATCTTCAAGTGCTGTCATCTTCTTCTAGAATATCTATATC